TGCGAGAAGAGCATTATTAACTTGTGCTGCTTAAGGATATTGGATTATGTTACGGAATGTACATTTAATGCAAGATTGGTTGATAGGTATTAATGGTTTGGAAGGCTACAGTTGTTATCAAAATGGTCTTTTGATTTCTTTTAATTCGAGTTATGATTAAAGAAAGTGAATAGAAATCTACCTGAAATATTTCACTACTTTATCTTGAAACTGTTTAAACCAACCATCATCCAAACTTTAGGGTGTTCATTTCATCAGAAACTCCTCCTCTGCCTGAAATGAAGATTATTCCAGAATCTATTCTATAAGCATCTGTTAAGGTCGCTAATGAAGCACCTTAAGATTTAAAGGCTAATCTCAGAAGAGCATATGCTCACTTTGATTAAGAATTCTTGAATAAATGTTAAAAGAAACCATTAGAATTCAAGGCATGTTTATTTGCTTTATGCCATTTCCATTCCTTAGTCTTGGGTAGAAAGAAGTTTGGTGCTTAGGGATGGTCTATAAATTACAACTTTAATGATGGTGACCTAAGAATATGTGCTAATGTCTTGTATGATTATTTTGTCCAAATATGATGCTGTCCCATGGGATGAGTTGAAATATATTTTTGGTGAAATTATCTATGGTGGATACATTACAGATGATTTGGACAGAAAAATAAGTGCCGTTTATTTAAGAGACTTAATCAAACCAGAATTATTATAATATGGTTTCAATTTGGGTCCGGGATTTAAATCACCAAATTATTCAAAAAACTAATATGAGTAATATATGGAATACATTGAAAAGAAATTACCAATCGAATCCCCATAAATGTTTGGTTTACATCCAAATGCCGAAATCAGTGATTTGACTTAATAATGTGATACTTTATTTATTACTATTAGAATTTGTATGGTGGTGAAGGTAACAATTTTGATGCTACTTAAAAATTCAATGTAAAAAAAGTTCTGCATAGCAAATTGGTCACCTAATTAAATTGTGTGTACATAAGAATGTTAAAGAATGGACATTTTATTAGATGAAATCATAAAAACAATATCTAACGCCAAGTCTGGTTGATAAGGTTGTGTGAAAATCACAGATTAAATGGATGCCTTTATTCTATCATTATAATTAAATAAAGTACCTGTCTGTTGGATGAAATATGCTTATTTCTCAAAAAAGTGTTTGGCTGCCTGGATCAACGATCTAATTTAAAGATACAAATATTTAAACTTATGGGCAAAAAAGAATGTCACCCCAGTTTCATTGTGTATTAGTCAAAGACTACCTTTGGATGCTGTAAGATATTATTATTTATATTAATGAGATAGAATTATAAACTAACATGACAATTTTCAAAGAATGCCTCAGCTAAGAGTGGTGCTTATATTCATGGTTTGTACTTGGAAGGGGCTGCATGGAAATTAGGTGGTTTAGGTTTTTAAGGATATTTGATTGAATAGAAATTGAACGATTTACATCCAAAATTACCAGTTGTTAATGTGATTGCTGTGACTGAAGAGAAAAGAGAATATTGGGTAATATTAATGCATAGTTTATGTAAAATAAATGAGAGGACCATCATTTGTATTGACTGCAAATCTTAATATGAAAAATTAAAATACAGACACATCCAAATGGATTCTCAGTGGTACTTGTCTATTAATGAGTGATGATTGATGAGTGTTTGAATTTACTATATTTATTAAATATCTATTAATGTCTAAAATAATGATTCAACAATCGAATTATGTTACTTATTAAATATTTAAATTCGCAGAATATTAATAGAAGATTTATTCAAGTAAGACATAGAATTATTAGATTTGAAATATCCATAATTAAACCTAAATTTTGGATAGATAAAAATAATTAATAATAATTATAAAAAATGCTGAAACTCATTTACTTCTCTGTATTTGCGTTAGAGTAATGTAACTAAATATAAAAAGTATATTGAACTAGTTAATGTCATAAAAGGATAACTGATTCTAATTCTATATGATATAGTTAATTAATAGGCTCGAATGATTAATTTATGAATCAGTGTTTAGAAACAAGTAATTTAATTAAGGTTGCTCTTATGATCTCAATCGTAATGAATATGTAAATTAATTAACCTTAAGTTTAAATATTAAATTAATAGTTTTCAATTTTAAATTAACATTATAAGTATATATATAAAAATAATTTAATTGTAAAGTAATAAATAAGTTTAGTATTATAAATAGATTAATTTGATAATGTCAAAATTTACATCTCTA